TGTGGGATGTGTTCTGCAGTGCTGTGCAGAGCAGCAGGGGGAATTACACCGGCTCCACGTGACACCCAGGAGCACAGAGAAGTGATGCTGACAGCTGTGGGGTTCAGTGCCCTTTCAGAGAGTCCCCAGCTCCTTCATCTACCCAGAAATCTCAGCCTTCATTTATTTCACTAATTGAGATTGTAGGGAATTTTTGCAACAGAGAGTGACCTCAAAATAAATATCATGTAGATTCCAAAAACAATAAGCAAATATATGGAAGCCTATTTAATTATTTTAAATGAGAAAAAAAAAAATAAACCAGTCTCAGTATCTTGGTATTTTAAATGCTGGGGCTGATAGTGTACTTGAGTAGGTAAAAGACACACAGATCAGCTCTAGAGCAGCAGACCTTGTTCTCATTTCTCCAGTGGGCCAAGCATGGGGGTAGCCAAGAGTACAAGCAGACCCCTGTCTGAGAGAGGAATGGGATATTGAGAACAGCAGGAAAATGCTTGTTTGTTTGTCCAGTATCTTTCAGACACTGCTCACCCAACAAAGCCACCCCAGCTGCCATCTTGGCTTTTCCTTCTGATTTTTAAGCAATGTCATTGCTGGCCTCCTGATGAAAGCCAGGCCAAAAGCCCTGGGGAAAGGCTGACAGTGCAGCAGAGCAAGAGGCTGCCCCAGCCAGGCCAAACCCTTGGATCTTCAAACCTTTTTCTTCTGAAGGCAAATAGCTCACTGTGAACCCATATGAGCTTCCAGGTTTGTGGGATCTTCGTGTGGGCTTGGGTCTTGTTTCTTCTAAGGTAGGTAAACACATTATGTGGTGAGCTGGGGGTTACTCACAGCCTCTGGCTTGTCTGTCAAAAGGTGACTGACATTGTGATCATTTGATCACATTGGATCCATTTTACCTCCAGCCCTCTTTTCCTCCCTGCCTCCTGTGCATTTGCTTGATGTGTGAGAACAACTCGTGTGTGCATGGACACAAACCCAAGGTGTGCAGACAAATAATCCTAAAATGGACGAAATGTTTGAATACCATTTTCAGAGAGAAAGAGCCCTTCCCTCTTATCTGAAATCAGAAGGAATCCAGAACTCTGAAACAAGGCTGCAGAGCCCTGGTAGAATACCAGGAGTCCTTCAGCCTCTCCAAGATGCCCTGAGCTCAGATCAGTGAACCTGGGTTACTGCAGGTTGGCTTCCAGGCATGGAGTCTCTATGAGCTCTACATTTATCTTCTTACTCCCTGGTTTCCTTTTACTTCTTGTTTCCATCAATGGTGAGAACTTTACCTCTCCACACCCAGAAACTCCTCTCTCCATCTGTGACAGGCAGGGAGGGGATATATTTGATGATGATTTGGTGTGGTTCTTCATGGCTTTAAGAAAATTTTCCCCTCAGATGTCTGTACCACACATTTTCTCTCCTCTGGAAGAACCAGGGGAAGGCAGCTGGGTAAGAATTTTGTGTACATATATATAGTAGGCAATCTGGGTTAAAAACATTTGACCCAGCCTAGGCTAATATATTTCAGTGTGGCTGAATTCAGAACAAACCCCATTTTTTTGATTCATGGGCTCTACATGCAGGACAATGGCACAAGACAGAATATCCCTTTCCTCCCCTTGGCTCACATCAGATGAACAGAAGATTTGCACACAAGTAAAAAGGTCGCCTTGAAATTATATGAATCATTCTGAGGGGCTTTGCCCTACCTTGCCTTTTCCAAGTCATCTCTAATTCCTCTTCAAAGCATCACGTGAAAGAAAACCACAACAGACTGCCATCGCTTGCTCAAGAAGCTTATTTTTATCCAGCAGTGAATATCTTCACTTCCTTCTTTTCCATAGATCAATGGCTCTCCCAAAATCTCTTTCTGCAACAGGACTCACTCCACATTTAACTGTATCTGCACTGATGGCTTCTTCAAGAATCAAATAAATTATTTGATCCCATTTTTCTTAAATGGGGTCATTTTTATCACGAGATCATGGTAAAAGTTCAGTGGAAAAAAAAAAAAAAAGTACTTTTACCTCAGAGAGTCTCTCTTGGCATCACATCTACTCTCACTCTCTGTTTCCAAAATTAAGCTGTCCTGTACTGAGCAAAATCAGTCAGTTTACACTCAGGTTTTTTTCCATTCCATTTTCATACCAATTTAATGGCTTAGAATTTTAGCTGGCAATGGCTGCATGAAAACTGGTGAAGGTATCAGTAACTGACCTCTTTACAGAAATGTTAAGGTGTCCATTTTCCTACTCTTTTCTAATGTCATCAAGAAATCAAAATAGTTGATTATATTGTAAAGATATAACATGTCAAATTAGAAACCAGACACAGGAAGAAATACCAGTGAAAATTGTGTGTGCTATCTCAGCAGGTAAAGTGGGCTGGGACTGCAGTCAGTGATGGGACAGGGAATAAAGCAGCAGTCCATCAATAAGGATTTTACAGCCTTAACCAAGAAAGAAACAAAACCACCCACAAAATAAAGAAATGTGCTGGAGAGAGGAAGATTTTTAGCCATGCAGAGCAGTGGTGTTCTCCCAACAGGACAAGGAGCAGCAGAACACTGCTTTTCAACCAGGTCTTGATCCCCATTTGAGCAAGCACAGCACAGCTGACAGCAGCTGCCTGTGAGCTTCCCCCCAGCCCTGCATGTCTGTGCTCTTAATGCAGTCACTGAAAGAAAGAAACATGGATTTTTTTCAAAGTGTCTGCTCTGAGCTATCTGGGAAATGAGGAGTGCTGGAATTAAGGCAAGCACTCATTTTGCTGCGCAGTTTATTACATTTAAGCAATTTACTACCAAGGCTTGATAAATCCCCTGTCCTCCCCCCAAATAAGACACTTTTATCTTCATCCTGGCTTGAGAAGGAGATAAATCTTTCAAATCTTCTGACTCTGGTAGAAGTCTGGACCTCTGAGTGGCTTGGAGTCCTGGAGCCCCCCAAATGTGTGTTCTTCCTCTAAGGCAGGGACAAAGCATGGCCCCCTGCCACAAGTGACTGCTCAAGATTTCATGTCAGGCACCCTCCTTTAGTGCAACATCATGCTCTTCCTCTTTTATCTGAGCCCTGAGCAGGTCCAAGCTGGAACTTCAAACATACAACCAACAGATGCTGTGAACATCAAGGGCTGCAGAAGGAGATTCAAATCCCATGATCCCAAAAGAGGAACTGGCTTTGTGAAATGCCTTCTTGCATATACCCACAGATACTGGAAATCTCACGAGGACAGCCAAGCTGATAACATTTCCCCTGTTCAGAAGAAACACTTGCCCAGCCAGAACAAATAAGGACATTTTAGTGGCTGCAAACATGAACCAGAGCCCTGCTTCAGCCACACAGCTGAAATGATGCATCTGTGCCTAAGCACAAACCCCAGCTGGATCCTGCAGGCACCCTTCTCACTCACATTCAATTCTAGCAGCCATGAAATTGCTTCTCTGACCCAAATTTTGTCTCCCTGTACCTGGTAGTTCCACTATGCCCACCCAGTGTTGAGCTTTTGGAGACATCTGCAACACATCAAATAACTTTTTATGAAAGTTTTTATTACTCACGAGGGGCTATCTCTTTTAAGGGCGAGGTGGGGTGGATTTCTTTTCCCCCAGGCTGCTGAAATACACAAATATTGTCACATTTGCTGGGGCTATTTCAAAATAAATAAATGAAGCCTGTGGGCTGGGCAGGGATGGAGATTTACAGCTGCAGGGTGTAAAATTGGAATCCCCATCCAAGGCCCCGCCGCAGGGCTACTCCCCTTGCACAACATGCAAAGGAAGGAAGTTGAAAGGAAGCAATTTATGAGTTAGCTGTGAGTAATACAGTGATATGGTTAGCAATGCAGAGGTAGAAAAGCCTGTATGACAGAGTGAATGTACGTGGGCTTGTAAATCAGTGCTGAATGGGAAACTAAAGTGAGAAGAAGAAATGCTGCCCAGTTTTACCAGGGAGTGTGTGGCAAGGTCATGGGCAACAGGAGGTGTATAAAATAAAGGAACTAGGGGAAGAAAAGCAGTTTCTTGTATTTTATGCCTCCACCTCAAAAGTCACATAAATGGACAGTGTTTTCCTTTCCTTCATAATTTCCTCTGAAGGAGGTAACTGCTGCAGAAGAAAATGATTTTCTCCTAAGAGCCAGTCAGAGAAGGATGGGACATATTGACTTATTCAATAGGCAGAGTCCTGATTCAGAGATAATAAAAGGGTTTTATCCTGTAATTTTGCTTATCACTCTCCTTTACTTTTTCACAGTTCTTAAAAATGAACAGCTTCAGATAGAACAAAACACACTCAGAGTCACTCAGCTCCTGTGCTGAGCTTGAATAACCCAGCAACTTTTTCTAGAGACCACAAATATTTAGTGAGTTTTCCCCATGTCATTTGGCACTTCTGTCAAATTAACTTCTTGGACCTGTCGCTAATCAAAGGTATCATAAAGCCTAAGGGTAAAGGCTGCCTACACTTCCAATTCTTTTTTTTTTTTTTTTAACTGGAAAAGAACACCACCTCTGATACATGTTTGAGTTTTGATAATCCATGAAGGTTCAGAAAAGGTTTGGGAAATTTATCAAAACATAAACTTGAGGTTTTTCAGATTTGGTAATCCATATTTAATTTATTCCTTTAAACTGCTCCAGTTACCACTTCCTACACGTTTATTTAAAGGAAGAGGTCTAATAGCAACGCTTCTGTCTCCAAAGATAAAGTCCAGCACTTAAAGAGGTACAAGAAATGTAAATTGAACAGAGAATTTGAAACCATCTGCTGAATTTTTATTTAATTAAGGCCTCATCTGCATTTGAAACACAAATTAAAGTGTGAATTTAAATGAAAAAGAGATTGATGAATAACTTCACAGGCCTCTGAGTTCTGGAACAAGAGTGCATTGTCCTTATTTACCTTAACACACTTGGAAATTATGTTATTCAAATTAGAAACACAGACTTCTCTCTTCAAGAACAAGAGCATCAATACTTGGAGTTAATCAGAAACACTCAAGAGCAATGGATGTGAGACAATTTATTAGAAAAGCTAGCAAGGAATTGTGAAATGATCTTTGTGCTCCACATGTAATATATTTCGTGGAACTTTAGGGAAGTTTTGGGTGCACAGCTCTCCCAAACCTCACACAGATTGTTCTGAGCAAAAGCTTCCTTGGGGGTAAATGTGGTGCAATGAACAGAAATAAGTGTTTGCTGTCAAAGGACATCAAAAATAGCAAGAACAAGTGCAATCATAAGTAGTTTGGGGTTGCATGGGTCCTTTTGATTTTTCTAGATAGATTCAATCTGAGCACAGAGAGGTTGCAAAAATTGAACACCCCGGGGAGAGTGAGTGCATGGATGAAATCCCAGTCCAGCTGAGCAGAGCAGATCCAAAACTCCATCCTGAAACTCAAGATTTCCTGGGATCTCTTCAGCCACAGAACAAAGGATCCATCTCATCCACTGCTGCACCAAAAAAGGAAACTTTTGTGTTTTTCAGAACACGACATGTGTTGAGAAATCTCTCCTTTAACCTGGCATGAGCTGCAGCAAGCCCGAAACTGCCATCGAGCTGCCCCATGAAACTGATGAGATACTGCTTTTCTCTCACAAGCCCCAGTGGTGAAATGCACTGATTTCAAGTCACACTTTTGCCTTACTGAGTTTTTGCTGTCATCAACATTTCCCTGACCCCACTGCCCTGCAGAACAGAACCAACTTCATTATGGTTAAGGAGATCCAAAATGTTTCTCTCTGAATCTTCTCCCACAAACCACGCTTATTCACGTACAAGAGGCTCTGGAGACAAACAGGCACAAATTCTCAAAATGTAAAGAGCTCTTTTTTCATTGGTTGTCAAAATGGATAAACCCCAGGGTATTAAATCTGACCTGTGCTCGACCACACAGGCTTTGGAACTGATACAGCCTTGCTCAGCTCTGGGGAGCTTAGCTAGTGATTTCAAGGGAAACACGAAAATGAAGTCTGAATCTGACCTAAACCAGGTTACAAGTCCTGTCCTGAAAAATAAAAACCAAATTCTTCCTTTTTTTGGAAAGCCAAAATATCATAACAACAGTGGGCCTACATCAGGTGTTTCATTAGAGAAGGTCACGTGTGAATGTGTTCCCCTTCCTTTGACAATTGGGTGGACCACGACATATGCTGGAACAGTGCTAATATAAAAAAAAATTAACATTAAAATCCCGACCACACCAATAGTCCCATCAGGGAACAGCGATGAACTCACAGTGTAGATGATAAAAAGAGCAGCTGTAGCAATCTTATATTCATTACTTGTGTTTACAGCCTTCTGCAGAAAGTAGGAAGCACTGTGCTTCAACACCCAAATACATTTAGTTTTCCCCCTCAGATAAACAAACATATATTCTTAAAATCATTTCTCCCAAAATTATTTCTTCTCAGAGTCAAAACTTACCTCAAAATGCACAGAGCACAGACACAGCAGGTTGCACAGAAGCCTAAAATCCTCCTGTAAGTAAATAAAACCAAATAACTGTAATAAAAAAAAAAAGTTAATTCTAGTCTTTTGTTTGTTTCCATTGTAAAATTGTCATGGGACTGAGGAAATATAGTAGCGCTTAATTTTAATAGTTCCATCATTGTAGATTGGCTGGGTATTAATTGTGTTAATGGTGATCATACTGAATTCATTTGGTATTTATTGAGAGACCACCTGTGCACCCATATGGTTTCCATCATTATTTAGGAGTAGTTAATGGACCCATTAGGAGTTAGCAGAAAGATGTGGGCTGGCAGTACTTCCCGAGAGTGGTAGAAACATTCTGTTGATATCCATTGCATTTTGAGGATTTTCCAAAGAGCTATTTGCTTCCCACCAATTTTCTTTCTCTTTAAATTACATATATTCTCATCTTAGCTTTCCAGAACCCCCAGAAAAATTAACTCATGTTTCTTTGCCTACGAAAAACCTGAGGGGACAACCTTTAGCCTTTTGATTTTGCAAAATATCTCCTTGTGTGTTTCCCTCATGGCTCCCTGGGGGAAGCAGGGCAGGGGAAAGCTTCCAGCACCTCTGCTGGGTGGGTGCACTCGTGTGCTGGGGGGAGAGGTTGAGAGAGGATGGGGAAAAGGGGAAATGTTTTCTGGGACTCTTGCCCTGCAGTGTGACAAATTTGCCCACGCAATCTGTAGTGTCAGTTGTGCAAGACCAGAAACCTGTGGTGGGGAGGGGATGGTGGGGGAGTCACATGCAGGGAGTCAGCCTTGACTGTCAGCAGAGGAGAAGGAAGAATGCTTTGGCTGGGTGTGGTGGTAACCAAGGCTGCTGGCTGACCGCAGTGACCTCCTGCTTTGATCCACAGATCTGAAAAGACACTGCTCGGGCCCCGCTGCTGCACGGGCTGAGCAAACACGCCGGGGCTGGGGCAAAGAATTTCCATTTTTGGTGCCATGACAATGGGCAGATGGAGGAGCATCTGTGTAGCTTCAGTGCAAAAGGACAGTTACTTTGTTCAAACTGGAATCTCTGAAGCAGTCTAAGAGTGTTCATTTCCCCAGAAACAGGGAATCCAGCTCCTCCCTCCCCCCCATACTTGAAAAATCCAGGCTAATTTCTGGGCACATCCCAAACAATACAAGGCTTATGCAAACTTTGCTACGTGCCAGTGTCCAGCTGTCAGTCACCTTCAGTAACATCTGAACTTCTTGGCCAATTGCAACCAAAATGAATGAAACAGCAGAGGTCCCAAAGGTTTTAGGTTTTGTAAAAATGGGGGGAGAGGAGAGAGGAAGGGGAGAGAGCCCAGCTGATGCCCTTCCAGACTACAAGGGGCTCAGTGGTCTAGTCCTAGACAACAAATACTCTGCTCCTCAGTGAAGTTTTTTTCTCTCTTGCAGGTATCTGAAAGATTTCCTCCTATGTTTAAAGATTTTTAAAACTCTTTCCTTCTCACATGCTTTTAGAGGGAAGGAACATTGATGCAGATCTCCTAGATTTCAAGTAAGCCAAAAAGCCACATATCACAGAAACCTAAATTCATTACTTGTCTTGTTCATGGAAATACTTCTTTCAGTAAACAAGGAAGAGACTGAGCTGTCTTCTATTTTTGCTAGGTAAACAATTAAATTAACAGTTATTCATCGTGAGAATATTCACAATGTGAATGGAGCCTGAAACAATAATTTCTGCATGTGGGGAATAATATAATCAAGGTATTTGTGGCATGACTCTGGTGATTATTCATACTTACATTCACAGCCTGATGCTGATAAATGGGGCTGTGTTCTCATAATCACACCCTTGGTATTTAAGAAGTCACTTTTCTGTAGCTTAGGAAGCCAGGCCAGATTTCAGTGCACCTCTTGACAAGGACACCTTCCTTCTCTAAACTCTGTTATTTGGGCTGTTTCCTTAACCAGCTACTAATAAAATAGATACGTCTACATTAGCATTTTCACAATCCCCTTTTGAAGGAAATCTCCCAAATCTCTTAATTTACTATGCTTACATTTGAAATGCCAAACAGCCTTGAAATATACAAAGGACATTAATTTTGGGGGAAATTTCAACCAAAAGTGGTGCATTCAAAGGACTTCAGCTGCACATGAGCTTTCAGTCCAGTGCACTGGATTAGATCTACTGCAAGATATTCCCCAAATATGTGGACCAGGGAGGTGAGATTCCCATCCCCAGCAGTTTAACCCACAAACTCACCCCCATCACGAGTCTCCTCCAGCATGGCCTGTGCTTGTGCCCATGCCAACACCCTGTGAAGATCAGAGCATCAGTATAGAGTGGGATATTGCCCTCCACAAGTTTTTTAAGAACTCAAGGTATTACAAGGTTATTTTCCATGTTTTAAAAAAGCTCAGTTCAAATTTTTTCTGTCTGCTGCTTAGAAATAGAGCAGTGCTTTTTTGCTTTTTGTTTTGTGCATCGATGACGTAAAACGTTAGCGGCTTGGAATTTCATAACGCTGAGAAGAAAGGAGAGTTTGATGGCTTCACAGCAAAATCTAACAGCTGTCCAGGCTTCTGAGCCCTGAGCATGGCTGTGCCACATGTCAAAATCCACTCAAAGATGGTTCCTCATTGGACTGGTGTGAAGCAAGCTGTGGCTGCAGCTCCTGCCCTGAAAGATTCTGCCTTAAAGACAGGAGAGCCAAATTGCCAACCTGCTTATAAAACCTTGGGGCAAAACCAAATAAGAGCTCCATAAGAGCTGAAGCACCTTTGTACCTGGGAGAGGTCAAGGTAAGATCTTAAAAGATGGGGGCAATCCTGAACTAACACATCAGTGAAAAGAGTTCTACAGAAATGTGCAAAAGTTTTCTGGTGGTTTTGGTAAAAACCTGAATATGCTGAGGCCAAAGGCTGGGGCTTGGCTGGTTGTTACAGAATTTATTGGCATCTCTCTGAAAAGGGACAGTATGAAACTGAAATATTTTCTACCATAAATCATTGCCTTTGATTCTTCAATTTATTTTTTTTTTTTTCAGGCTGATACATCCCTACCTTCCTTTCCCTGCCACATTTTCCTCTCAGTCTGTCTCACCAGCCTCTTAATAATGCTTCCTCCTTTATGCTTGCAAACTTTTTCTAGTCACTTCATGTAAAAAATCCTAAATCACAAACATTTTTAATTCTAATATCTTCATGCTTGCATTTTTTCAATATCACAATAACTTTTCTTTATATTTTTCAATTTTCTCCTATTTGCTTCTTCTCATCTAATTCTAGCACTCCTGCTATTGTTTAGTCTACTGTCTTTACTTTTCCCATCTACTTTGCAGAAATACAATATTAAAAATGTTGGAGCTGTTTTACATTGGAAAGTTTAGCTTCTCTGTGGCTCCATATATGTGAAACCCCTCTGTGCTGCTCCAGTGCCACAAAATGATGCCAAGTTTCCACAGGGTACTCCTGTTCAGCTGCACAGAGCTGTGCTGGTGCTGCTAGCCCTGGTCTAGTTGTTCCAGAGCAGGAGGGGTTTGAGGGAATTACTGCTCAGTGTGGGTTTTTTTCATGTCTTCATTTTCCTACCTTCCTCTCAAGTGTGATGAATCTGTGCACAAGGGCTTTAAAACCTCCTGTCACAGCAGAACCATTTCACTGCCTGTTACTTAAAATCCCTCCCTCATCCTACAGCTGAGGCTGCACCTGAAATCCAAAACACCTCCATGCCTTTTCTACTGCTTTATTCTGTAAAAAAGCACTGGAAAGGACTGGAAACAGAGCAAGTTGAAACTCTTTGCTTTTCCAAGGGGTTAAAATCCTCTTGTGACATCCCTTGTAAGATGAGCAGACAGTGGATCCTCCAAAAATCCACACTGAAGGAGCTCTCAAGCAGTTCCCTAAGGTACAGATCCATCACATCTTCCCTACCAGTCTGGGAGTCTATTCCATAGCTAGCAGCCTCCAGTGTGTTTTTGGGGTGTAAATACAATAATGAAGCACAGGATGCTGTACAAAGCTTGGGGAACAGCAGGTAAGATGCATGGAACCAGGAAAGGAATTCCCATCAGCCTTTGATCCTTAACCTGTGTATCAAGAAACTCCCCCCTAAACCTAAATATCTCGTTGTTTATGATTATATATTTTAATGGACTTCTACCCTTCCCTCCCCTGGGTACAATTTGTGTGGCAAAAAATACTGTGAGATCTGTTCTGTCCCCCATGTTTTGGCTCCCAGGGAACTGAAGAACCGTGAGAAGGTCTGATCTGATGTTATTTCAGCCCCACAAATAGCTCCCTGAGTGATTCAAAGTGCTTGCAAAAAGGGAAATAAAAGTAAACACAAATACCTGGAATGAAATTATAAGTCCCCAGAGCCACACACACACTGCAGTTTGTCAGAGCAGGAAGGACTGACAACCCAAGCCCTCTTGGTGGTGTCCAATGTCCCTGAAAGGTTCTCTGGGTTATTTGTCCACGTTTAACACCACACTCAAGGGGAAGTGGAAAGAGTTCTATTGTTCCTTTTCACCAGTTGTACTCAGCTGCCTATGGCTCCTCTTCTCCTCTGAGGCCTCAGCAGAGACTGAACCAGATCTCAGCCTTCTAAACCAGAGAAGCTCCACAGCTTCAGAGCTGGATGCAGCATTTTCCCTCTCAGTCCCCTGTGCCTGCAGCCTGAAGGACGACAGGAATTTCACTGTGTGCTGCCCTGAGTGAGCAGTGCTCTCCCTCCTAAACACTGGGCTCACCACTGGGGCAACCTACAGCTAAAATTAACCCTGCTCTGCCCAAAACAGCTGCCTGCCACTGCTGATCCCATCCCACCCCACTCCAGAGAATGTCTCCTCTGCCTCCACCAGGGAGATTGTGCAGGAAAAGTTATTTTGTGCAAAACTTGTGTTCCAGCCTCAGGGAAGATACAACAACTTGTTTCCTTCTCCTTGCACTGGGGTGGGGCTTCCAGCAGCCACTGTGGGAGCCCATCACAGCTGATTATGGTGCAGACCAACACAACTTCTGCTGTTCTGTGTGGGAGGCCACAGGTATTATTTTTTGTGCCTGTGTAAACCACCACACATTAACTATAAACTCTTAGTCATCTGCAAGGGATGTTAAGCCCCTTTCATTCATTGCCTTATTTTTAGGCTTTATTCTCTTAAAAGACTGAATTTTTATTTCTTTTCCCTTTTTTTTTTAGACATGAACATGAGAATCATATTCAGTGAGGATTCAAGAATCCATTGACACAAGAACTAAAGTGAGTGGTATCTAAATGTTATGGAATTGAGGGCTTACACTCTGTGGCACAGCAGATTTCAGCCAGTGAAGGTCCAGTTTAGGACAGTTCTGAAAAGCCTGACCTTGGTTGTACCCATGCAGCATCACGTCAATGCCTCAGTACAAACCAGGAGTTATTTACAGTGGTGCCCTGGGAGAGATGGGATCTACTGGGACTTTTTGGCTGCAAGTGATGCAAAAGGACAATTTGGGTAGGAAACAGCACGCCTAGACCACTGGGCTGTAGGTCATAATACCCAAGATACTACTGTCATTTTGATTGTGCCCATTTGCCCTTAAAAACCCTTTAACCTCCTTGTCTCTCCATCCAGCTCTTGGCAGTTCAGCTGGCCTGGGCACAGCTTGGCTGCAGTGATTTTATCATCCATACTGACCCAGGTGGTCTCTGAAATGAAAAGTTTGATCAGACACAGAAGTGAATCTGGAAGACAGCATGTATTTTTGAGGAGGAAAAATCTTTTGGAGAAAGGCTGTAAAGCCACATCTCATATTCACTGAGTTTCCAAATAATTTAGGCCCAGATTTTAAGCTCAAGCATATCTGGAACAATTACTGCTCCAAACATGTGGTACTTGTCCTAGAAAAAAGACTTTTAAAACTAAATAATTATTAAAAAAAACCCAAGCAGATCCAACCTTCTGGCTTTTCCAGAAGCAAGGCAGGACTGCCACCAAACTGCCAACAACTTTGGAAGCCTCAAACAGAGTTACATTAGAATGGCAAATGTCAAACAAACTGAGGAAAACAAGGGTAGGGGTAGGGGAAAATGCTGCCCTCCTTTTCCCTATTCCCTCCTCCTCTTTTCCTGGCCCACCCCTGTGTAAATGACTCCAATAAACCATGAAAAGAACAACTTGCCAGCAGCTGGCACGTTGGTCCTGGGCAGATGCCAGACAAGGGGCTCACACTGGTTTGGAAACATGTTTTTTTTTTAAATATATAAAGTACATATGTGTCAGTCTGAATGGCTGAGTGAGCCACTGAAACCAAGATAAGCAAAGGCAGCACTTAGCGTGCACTCTGCATGTTCTCCAGATCCTGTGTCCCCTTCTATGCCAGGCTAACTCCTCTAATGAGGTCCTTATGCAACTTTATTCCAGTTACAGAGAGACTGAGTCCTTCTTCCAGTCAACAGGAAATTTTCAGTTGATTATGGAGAACAGTTTTTGTCATAGATTTGTCAGGCAAAAGAAGCTGCTTCATTTGGCTTTCCATGCCCCAAACATTATGATTTCTCTGTGCAATAAGAAGTCAATTAGATTTTTCCATGCAATTAGATACAGAAATATACCATTTTCTTATTTGTGTCTGTGATTTATTCTGTGGAGCATCTCCTTAGTGAGATGACACTTGATGCTTCATTAAAAGGGAACAAAAATTACAGTCTCTGACCTAAAGAAATGTCCAGTGAGATGTTTGTGGCTAATGTTTGAAAGCAGCAATAAGGGCTGAGAAGAAGAAAGTCTCTCTGAAGCAGTTGTGTAGTGGTGAGAATCCTTCAGGGAAAAGGGCCCATCTGGGTCAGAAGTGCGGAGGCAGGATGGCACTGTCATCCAGAGGTGCACAGACTGTGTGACTCTCTCTGGCTGCACCCTGTCAGCAGGTGTTTCATGGGGAACCAGGGCCCAGATCTTGAGCATTCCACGTCTCAGAGTCACACTGACACAAATCACTTTTCTGCTTTTCTGACCTCCCAAAAGGTCTTTGAGCATCTGCCCCGTGCAGGCATTCAGCCACGTCTGAAAAGAAGGCTCTTCAGGAAAACAAAGTGTTTTCCTGTGTCTTGAGCTGGAAGAGGGAGCACAGACTCCAGTTCACAGACTAAACATCAGGACATTTTATTTCTCCTTTTGTTTTAGGACTCACATCAGTGACATGGAATGGAAAAAACGTGTGAATCAGGTCATTTCCAAGTTATATGATTCACTCCAATAGGATGTTGCATTTCTTTGTCTCTCTTCAAGGAATCACGTGGAGCCAAACCACAACAGGCTGCTGACTTGCTGTGG